TTTTGAGTTCGAGTCTCATTCTGTTGCCCAGGATGGAGTGCAGTGGCGTGCTCATAGCCACCTCAACCTCCACCTGCCGGGCTCAGGCAATCCTTCCACCTCAACCTTCCAAATAGCTGGAACTACAGGTGTGCACCACCACGCCTGGCAATATTTATTCTTACATGTTTAAACTTCAGTCACCTTCCAAGTCCTCTCCATTTGATGCAAGATACCTATCGGGAAACTTTTTCCACTGCTCAAAACAGTTTTTTAACTCATCAATTTTTAGTACTTTTTAAGAAGTCTTTTAAAAGTGTTTCTGCCATTTTCTGTTTCACCTCTTCCACATCGGCAAAGCATTTCCCTTTGAGAACTTTCATCTGGGGAAGCAAAAAACTTGTCCCTGGAGCAAGATCCAGTCAATAGGGAGAGTGGGACACGGGGGTCATGCCTTTGGGATCCAAAACTGAACACTCAGCATGCTGTGGCAGGTGTGCTTGTAAATCTCCCATCATGAAATGGACAGATGCGTTGAAAGAATCTCCAAAAACAATTCACTGAAGCAGAATGCAGCCTCTCAGAGCAATGCTAGTTAGTACCCTGATACTGATGGGTTCTTAGAACACTTACCTAACGGAGAAAGCCTGTATTGCAAGGGGCCCACCTCCCAAAAGATAATTCCAGGTTTTTTGGGGTCCCCTTCGTATATCTTTTGGACGCTGATTCTGTTTCCTTTTCAGAACTATTTGTCAATGAAGATTGTGAGACCAAATGCATAAAGAAAGTCAAGCCTTCTTTTCAAGACTTGTCCAGTATTGAGGGAATCCTGCCTGTTGGTGGACCAGGATCAAGTGTGATTTCATTCATGTCTGAGACTGCAGCCCCATGGTCTGTCCTCTGTGTCCCCAGGTCTGTCGGTTCCCAGAGGGTCTTCATCCTGGAAAGTCAGTCCAACAAGCAGCATTTGATCTTGCTATCTTTTAAAGTATTAAAAGTTTTGTTTTCTAAAGTTTTAATCAAGTTTTTCAAACTATTTTTCAAGGTGGCTGGTCCCATTTAAAAATCATATTTTTATGTGTCTTTAGTTTGAGAATTCGATTTTTGAAAATTGCTGAAATGGAATTTGAAAATCTCTGCGTCTTGAGGTCATATACTTATTTGTAATCGCCTAAAAGGACTGTGCATTATGGAAACAGAATAGTTAGAGTAAGTCTTATTTATACCTGCAAATATGATATTTTGTATGGATAAACATTATGAAACTCTATTTAACCTCTGTGATGAACTGAAATAAAAACATTTCACCTTTACATGCCGTTGTCTGTTCTAGCTGTGGGCCCAGCAGGGAAGGAACAGTCTCTGGTCCCTGATCTCAGAGGACGGGATACCATGGCAAATGTCTTAGTCATAAACCTTATAATATGCTGACAAACTTCAGCCAGTGGGTCAAACTGAAGCTGATATTACAAATAATAAAAGCTAACACTTATTAAAGGTGCTTACTCTGTGCACAGCACTGTTTTGTTTTGTTTTGAGTTGGAGTCTCACTCTGTCACCCAGACTGGAGTGCAGTGGCACCCTCCTGGCCACCGCAGCCTTGCCCTGCTGGGCTCCAGTGATCCTTCCGCCTCAGCCTTCCAAGTAGCCGGAACTACAGGCGTGCGCTACCACACCCGGCTAATTTTTGATTTATTGTAAAGATGAGGTCTTGTCAAGTTGCCCAGGCGGGTCTCGAACCTGTGGGCTCAGGCAATCCACTGGCCTCGGCCTCCCAAAGTGCTGGGATGACAGGCTGAGCCACCGAGCCCAGACTGCACAGCACTGTTTTAAGTGCTTTGTGTGTATTAAATCACTGAGGACAAAGTAACGCTCTAAAGGCAGGTAACATGAAGCCCATTTTATAGTAGAAGAAACCGAGGCACAAAGCATTCAAGCAACTTGCCCCAGGCGACACAACCAACGAACCCAGGCAGTAGTCTGGGTTCTCTCTCTCTCTCTTTTTCTCTCTCTC